CCCCCCCCCCCCCCCCCCATCTCCAAATTAGTTGTGCAAGCCATCTCCCCTCAGGGCATAAAGTGCCAAGTTTGATGCATCTCAGTAATCTCAAGGTCTTAGCTATGAAGAAGCTTCTTTGGACTGTGCGCAAAAAAAGGTATACCCCCCAGAACACAAGAAGCTTCACTCCCCACCCCACCTGAGACTGGCTCCCAACCCTTTCCCCAGCTTTAGAAGACTTGGGTAGGGAAGAGAAACACATACATTAAAGGACAACTCCATTTTAGGGTGGTATACAAAAGAAAGATTATACTTTTGGCCCTCCCAAACCAACAATATTCTCAAGGTCTCTGCTTTCTATCCCATATAGCTCTGCAAGATGGGATAGCTCAGCTAGGGATTGAAGTCATGTCCTTAGCTTGGCTGTGGGGATCTGTACTGGACAGAAGCTATACCATAGAGATTTGTTGTTGTAAACAAAGTCTTCCAAAAAGGTTTGGAACTATTCATCTCTGCATGAATAAGAGGCAGCAAGCCAAGATATTTAGTTATCCAAATGGATAAAAAAAAGAGTTAGAGGGCCCAGCTATACTGATATACTGGCTTTGCAAGTTCTTTATGGTACCAGAGTATTACAATAGTTTGGCACTAGCCTGATTGCTAGGGCCAACAGATGGTGTATATTCTGTTTTACAAATGAAGGTGTGAGGCTATTTCCCTAGAATTTTATGAAAAGCTAGGAGTGGCAGAATCCTGAAGCAATTCCTTAGGGATTCTGGATGGTTTTCAAGTTTGCTCACTAAGTTCTTCTTGTGGGCAAGAAAGGTTGCATCTCAAGCTTGTGAGTTACTTTGACTGACAGCTAGCTAATGACTTCCATCAGACACATGGAATATTAACAGCATGACACTGAACAGTTTCACAGTTTCTAGGGTCGGAAGGGACCCAAGCAGATCTAGTCCAACCCCCTGCCATGGCAGGAAAGAGTACTGGGGTCAAATGACCCCAGTAAGGTGGTCATCCAACCTCCTCTTAAAAACCCCCAGGGTGGGAGCCTGCACCACCTCACTTGGAAGCTGGTTCCAGACCCTAGCTGCCCTGTCCGTGAAGTAGCGCCTCCTGATGTCCAACTTAAACCTTCCCTCCACCAGCTTGTGGCCATTGTTCCTGGTCACTCTTTGCGGCACTCAGGGGAACAGGGACTCCCCCAGTGCCTGCTGATCCCCCCTAACCAGTTTATAACAGGCCACAAGATCCCCCCTCAGCC